GCATCTCGAGGGTCACTTCAGCATCAGTGCTGAAATCAAAAGCTGTTAACACAGTACGGTTTTAGCACTTCACCCAAAAGACATTTGGTGCAGCTCCTGGGCTTCTGCTCCCACCATCCTGAAACACCCTATAACTAAATAATCAGAAACTTTCTGTATGTGAGGCTGTTATGGAAAAGTTCGTCATGTCTTATATGTACTATATATATCGAACAATGTTGATGAAAGACTCATATTTTGTAGGTCCGTGAAGAGTGTTCTCTTCCCCCGAAATGAAAATGACGCAATCCAGTGCATATTTTTTGGGTCAGCAGTTCTGAGTTGTGTTCTGCTGTGTATAGAGGATAAAGTGATTGCAGACTCTTACAATTCACACTATTCTCTGACTGCAACTGCCATCAGTCAAGGTACAATTATATCACATGAACTTTGGTAAGAATGACAAGAACAACTTATCAGTATTGTGGGAATTACCCAACCACTGAAAATTACTATACAAAGTATAGTACACAAATCTCCAAAATACGCCCCTTTCTCAGCAATGAAACCTCAACGCTACTCATACACTCCCTTGTTATCTCTCGTCTCGACTATTGCAACACCCTCCTCATTGGCCTTCCACTACCCAGGCTCCTCCCCCCTTCAGTCTATCATGAACGCAGCTGCTAGACTCATCCACCTCACCAACCGCTCAGTGTCTGCATCCCCCCTCTGCCAATCCCTGCACTGGCTTCCAATCACCTAAAGGATAACATTCAATATATTAACAACCACTTACAAAGCCATCCACAACTCTGCCCCTGGCTATATCTCAAACCTTGTCTCAAAGTATCACCCTAACCGTCCCCTCCGCTCTTCCAAAGACCTCCTGCTTTCCAGCTCCCTCATCAACTCCTCCCATGCTCACCTCCAGGACTTCTCTAGAGTCTCACCCATCTTCTGGAACTCTTTACCCCAACCTGTCTGACTATCTCCCACCTTGACTGCCTTTATGCGATCCCTAAAGACTCATCTCTTCAGGGAAGCCTATCCCACCTCAACCTAACCACTGAACCTTCACATTCTCAAACAATTTCCAGTTCCATGCAGTATGCCAGTGCTTCTTTGGGGGCACATTAGGGAATGTACGGTAGAGATAAAGCAATGATTTTGCCACTTTATAGATCGCTGGTTCGGCCTCATCTGGAGTATGCGGTTCAGTTTTGGTCACCAATCCACAGAAAGGATATCCTTGAACTGGAGAGAGTCCAGAGAAGGGGAATTAAACTAATTAAGGGGCTGGAGGATCAAAGCTATGAGACAAGGTTGCTAAATTTAAACATGTTCACGCTGGAAGTGAGGAGGTTAAGGGGGGACATGATTTTGTTGTACAAAATGTTTAGTGGTGCTGGCAACATCTGCAATAAACTATTTACTGTAAACTCCATAACAAGGACTAGAGGCCACCACCTAAATCTGGTGGAGAAAAGATTTAACCACAAAGCTGCGTAGGGGCTTCTTCTAAGTTAGAGCAGTTAAAACCTTGAACTCTCTGCCACAAGCAGTGGTATCAGCAGAGAGTATTGAATCAGTCAAAAATCAATTATATACCTTCCTTAGAGACCGTAACATTCAGGGGTACAGGTACTCTTAAAAACTAGACCACATGGGAACTCATACAATCACACACAGACACACAAAGGTTGATTTTGATGGACCTGTGTCTTTATTCAACCTCAAATACTATGTAACTATGTAATTCATCCCCACTCAGCTACCTCCTTATGTATCACGTCCCCCTCCCTTTCAGATTGTAAGCCCTCAGGGGCAGGGCCCTCCTAACAGTGTTATCTTGAATTAAATTGTGATTGTAATGTCTTCCTTATGTTATATAAATCCTATATATTGATTAAAATAATAAATCCCTAATCTGATACTGTATCCACACAGGGTCAGTCCAAAAATATAATGTAAACATTGGCACAAGTCCAGACAGGCATCTGTGATCTCTGGTTCCTTTGTACCTAAAGAAAAAGCCTTCAGGGCTTAAAGGAAAAGTTAGAGAAGCATGGAGGCTGCAACTGCTGACCTGAAAATGTCCGGCTGTCAAGCTAAGTATGAAAACATACATTCAGCTGTTATTACTAGCAAAAGGATAAAGCACACTCATGCGGTACATAGTATATTATAAAGTAGTAGTGCTGCACAAAATAGATAAAGCCCATGCCACTTCACTATGGATGGAAGAAACAGATTACAGATCAGGAGAATGTCATATAATGCCCCTTACATTGGTGAACAAAATGGCCCCATACATCGGTGGTCAGTGGGGAAGGCCTCTCTTAGACCGGTGGCCAGTGTGAAGAAAAAAGTGTAATGACCAATATGATGGGACACTTCTTCACTGACCACTAATGTAGAGGGGCCGGCCCTTCTTCACTGACCACCAATGTACAGGGTCTCTTATCCACTGACCATTAATGTAATGGAGCCCTTCTTCACTGACCACCAATGTACAGGGCCTCTTATCCACTGACCATTAATGTAATGGAGCCCTTATTCACTGAACACCAATGTACAGGGTCTCTTATCCACTGACCATTAATGTAATGGAGCCCTTATTCACTGAACACCAATGTACAGGGTCTCTTATCCACTGACCATTAATGTAATGGAGCCCTTATTCACTGACCACCAATGTACAGGGGCATATTTTCTTCACACTAAACACCAACATAAGGGAGTCCTTCCCTGCTGACCATCAATGCAAGAGGCCCATTATCGCTGACCACCAATGTAAGGGTGCCCTTCTCCTTTGACCACAAATGTAAGAGGGTCCCTCCCCCTGACCACCACTGCAAGGGAGCTTTTCTAAACTGACCAAAAATGTAAGTAGACATTTTTCCTGTGACTGACCACCAATAGGATGGGGCATTTCTCTCACTGACCATCAATGTAAGGGTGCTTGCTTCTAGTGTCCTCTTACATTGGTGGTCAGTCTAAGCATCCCTCCTTACAATAGTGTCAGCGTTAGAAAGCATGCCACGGCCTCCACACAGTGGCTTTAGTCCTGGGGATATAAAGGCACTGTTGGATACAAAATCATTCTGCCCAGGACTGCCTGGGACGCCCCGGGTGCAGGCTAGGGGCCCACTACAAGATCCGGGCCCTCCGAAGGATCATCAGTCCTACAATGAGCCAGTCTGACCCAGCCTGAGGCTGTAACAGGTTTTGCCACAAATGACAATGGTGGAAAGTGTGTTGGCGGGAGCAGAATGATGAAGATGATTTGTGATCTGGGCTTGGTCTTTTTTTTAGCACTTTATTTGGATCCATGTCATTCTGAACAATATTTCTGTCTACTCAAGAGAGCTGCATTGTACAGGCATTGTGGGCATGGTGCCTTTCACATGCATGTTGTCATAAACTATATATTGCTTCTTCACAGACCAACGAAATGTACGACTATGCTGACCACTAATGAAAGAAGCCCCTTCGCTGATTACCGATAAAAATAGCTTCTTCGCAGACCATTAATGAAAGGGGCCACTACACTGACCACTAAGGAAAGGGGCCACTTCACTGACCACTAACGAAAGGGACCACTTTACTGACCACTAACAAAAGGGACCACTTTACTGACCACGAACGAAAGGGGCCACTTTACTGACCACTAACGAAAGGGACCACTTTACTGACCACTAACGAAAGGGGCCACTTTACTGACCACTGATGAAAGGGGCCACTTTACTGACCACTAAGGAAAGAGGCCACTTTACTAACCACCAATAAAAGAGGCCACTTCATGACCACTAATGAAAAATGCTTCTTCAAAGACCATTAATGAAAGAGGCCACTTCACTGACCACTAATGAAAGGGGACACTTCACTGACCACTAATGAAAGGGGCCACCTTACTGACCTCTAATGAAAGGGGCCACCTTACTGACCTCTAATGAAAGGGGCCACTTCACTGACCACTAATGAAAGGGGCCACTTCACTGACCACTAATGAAAGGGGCCACATTGCTGACCACTAATGAAAGGGGCCACATTGCTGACCACTAATGAAAGGGGCCACATTGCAGACCACGTTGTTGACCACTAAAAAAAATTACCCCTTCACAGGCCAATTTACCTTTGAACATCATAGTAAAAGGACATTTCTCCATTGGCCCCCAAGGGGAAGGAGCACAATTTTCAGTATTTCTGTCAACCGTCTATATTCCTTTTCTGGTCATTTTCATTCATTGCTTCATTTTATTATGACTGAAAATGGTTTTGTATATAGATTTATATATAATACATTTGTACAGAGCGTCCTTGGGTGCTAATGTGCACATAAGCAAAGGGGCGGGATGCAGTGATGTCACTGATCTTATATGACTACTCGGCTATATCTGGTCAATGACCCTGACATCAGAGCAAGCAAGCATCCCGTCCCTTTGTTTATCAGCGGGGGACCCCATTTAGCTTCCAAGATTGGAGTAGCTCAAATTCGGACCCAGTCCAATTTGAACCAGAGGCTTATCCCTACTTGTGAACATGTGTCCATCTTTAAAAAAAAAAATCCCTCACAGTCAAAGGTTAACATTTGTAGCCGACAGAAAGCTTATTTTTTTTTAGTGCACTTCAACCTCCTAACTGAGATCACTGTTCACATAACATCAATAGCCCGAGACTCTACTGCACATGCGCACTATCCTTTATGTAACTTCTAAGAACTCCGCCCATGGTTGCTTAGCTACAGAGACGCTTCTATCACGTGACCGATGTAAGAGCGGCCATTGAAGAAGCGGTCACGGGTTTGTTAATTCGGGAATGGAACTACAGAACGTGCAGCTGTTGGTTACATGCAGCGAACTATGTTAGTATATGAACCTGCCGCTGCTAACGTGTGTCTGCATTGCAACGTGCATGAGAAGCAAACCCGGCTCTTGCCCTCAGTAAACATGGACGCCGGAATACCTCCACATGCGGATGTTACCTAGAAAGTGCCGTGTGCTGTGTGTCCCCTTTACCTGCCAAGTCATAGAACTTCTCTGTCTGGAGTAGCGCTGCGACCGCCCAGAGGACCCACTGGATCCCTAGACTGAGTCCGAGGAAGAGGGAGAGTTCCTGAAGCATGGTAGAGGGTTCAGCGGGCTGTGTGTCCCTGCTTCTTCCACCAATCACAGTATAGAGCCTTTCTTTTCCACCAATGACAGTGCAAAGTGTCTATCCATCAATCACAGGGCAAAGTGCATCTACTATCCACCAATGACAGTACAGTGTCTCTCTTGTTCGCCAATCACAGAGCAGAGCGTCTCCCCAATGTGAAATTTGTGTTTTTCACTAAACTGATCATCTTCTTCCCTCATTGTGATGAATGTGTTTTTGAAAGTTGATTTGTAGTGGAAGATTATAACTGGACAAAACCTTTTTTTTTTAAAGGAGAACTATGAGGTGAGTGCTTTTCACTCACCTCTTAGTTGTAGCCGACCTGTGACAATGAGACTGTCACAGGTCCGTTCAGTAGATCGGGAGGTGAGCGAACACATACCGGCGTTCGCCCACCTCTCGATCCTGTCACGGCTCTCCGCCGTGACAGGGGAGGGGCTGGATTCCCCCCTCCCTGATCCGCCAGCGCTGACTGGTGGAACGGGTGGGGGCGGGTACAGCTGGCTCTGCCTCTAGATAGGCAGAGCCAGCTGTCAGTCACGCAGCTGGGCGGATCCAGACATAATTGTCGGGATCCGCTTCAGCTGCGGCGTCTCAGTATACCGCGAGCAGCAGCTCGCGGTATACAGCGCCGTCTCAGTATACCGCTAGCTACAGCTCGCATACTAAATCCACAGCCGCTCTTTTGTCTGGGTGAGGGGAATTCTCCTATTATGTCCTGGGACAGCGCTGATTCTTCTGAGACCCAAGACAAAAATAGTAAAGTGCAGGCCACCCCTCACCCCACATACAGTGACCCAACTGCTGCAGAATACAGAAATGGCAGTCGCTGTCCACCAGCTCTTGGGTTGCCATGTTTTGGTGTAAAGACAACTGAACTGGATGTTGGAGATGTGCTTAAACCAGTGTGATTATTTTAGTCAAAACCAGCATGTAGAGGCCCCCCTAGCATTGTTTTGTACTAACGTCGCATGATGAGCTGGGTCCTCTTCAGATCGTCTCTCCCTGTGGGTTGTCCTCAGTGATGCTGTGAGTGATGCTGACATGATGATGATGTCCCTTAAAGTGGACCTTTTCCCTCTTTGACTAAAAACCACATCATCATGCAGCTCTGCATGCTGATATGAAATCATCTTACATTCATTAGTTAAACAAACGTTTTTCTTTTACTTACAATTATTGTTTCTCCACTCCCTGGTCCTCTTAGGCATTAGTGATGTAATGTGCCAAAATGTTGCATCCTGGGAAGGTTACATCAGCAGAGCATTGCTGGGGAATCTCATCTGTATCAAGGAAAGGCATTTTTCCCCCGAGATGATGGGCATGGTCACATGTCCTAGTCACATGGGCCAGAGTTCCAGGAAGTAAAGGGAGATATATTAATATGCCCTTAGTAAAAATGGCCACTGTGAGAAGAATACAAAGCCAGCTATTATCTAGAAGCATCTGTGTGTAGATTGTCATTACTAATCATTTCTAAAAGTGTCTTTGTTGTCATTTCAAAGATCTGGGTAAAGTTCCTCTTTAAAGGAGAACTATGAGGTGAGTGAAAATCACTCATCCTCATAGTTCGAGCCGACGTGTGACAATTAAACTGTCACAGGTCGGCTTAATAGATCGGGAAGTGAGCGAACACATACCGGCGCTCGTTCACTTCTCGATCATCTCCCTGCAGAGAGCCATGGCTGTCACTCACGGCTCCTTGCAGGGATTCCCCTGTCCGATCCTCCAGCGCTGACTGGCGGAATGGACGGGGCGGGTACAGCTGGCTCTGCCTCTAGATAGGCACAGCCAGCTGTCAATCACGCAACTGGGTGGATCTCGACAGTAATGTCAGGATCCGTCCCGGCTGCGGCGTCTCAGTATACCGCGAGCTGTAGCTCGCTATATACCGAGCTTAGGGTGACGGGAGGACGCTAGTTTGTGTCTTCCCGTTACCCTTAGGAGAACACCCTGACACCATAGTTCTCCTTTAAGTTATTGGCAGATCCACAGATGAAACGTAAACATTGCTTGGGTCCATACGGGGTATGGAGGATGAACTGCTTAAATAGTATTCTTTTGCAGGATATTTCGCCTCCTAAAAAGGTGACGGTCACTTGTCCCACTGATTATGAAAACCTGCAAAATAATGCAATAAATGGCATCAGCTTGACAACACTGCTACCTGAAAAAGAACCTCCGATAAAATGCATGTAAAACAAACAAGCTATAAAATTGTGCCGTGTATATATTCTGTTATTTAACGTACTATTTATCTATTGTCATTAAAAGTGCAACTGAAGCCAAACTTTTTATTTTTGTGGAGAGAGGTTAGAGCACCTGTCCGTGTCCCCATTAGGGAGATTCACCCTCTTGGTTTGTCCTGGTGACCATAATCACTGAAAGTAAAAGAAAATCCCACATTTTGATGCTGGATGCACACCATTTATGCTTGATCAGTTTTCCATTTCAATGATAAGATTTCAGCAAGCACCAGACTTTAATAGCACACACAAATTGTTAGTTAAATTCATTACTTTTTTTAAATTATTATTATTAATAAAATCCTTAAAATCCACAACTTCGTTACATATTCCAACACCATGAATAAAGGTCTCTGAGGGCTAGCCTCAATCTACCACTGGAGCAGCTAAATCATAACAACATCGTAAACTATTAGAATTCAAATCTATATATCAATAACATCAGTAACAAAAAACTGTAGCCAAAACCCAATTTACAGTAGATGCTGGCTTATTCAGTGATGTAAGGATGACATAACACGTTTCACAGGACCTCCATTAGCCTGCTTCGTCAGGAGACCCGCAGCATATTTTAAAAGAATAATCTGGTATATTAACATTTTAGATAATCACCATTGCATTTCTGACCCTGTGAGTGTGATTAAACTTTGCTCAGGGGGTACATGGTGCTGCCTACTGTTAAGGTGAATGCAGGATTCTAAAACACTTTGGGGGTTGTGTGCTGGTGGGGGACCTCATCTTCTCCTTTCACTACCTGCAGCCACTGCAATGAGGGTCTGTGGTTACATTTTTGACTTTTTTTGTACTAATTTTTATTATATCAGTTTATTTGGTATGAATTGACAATGAAAACTAGTTTACTGGATTTTGGATGTAACGGTGCATGTAGTTGAAATCATAAAAATCCTTTTAAAACACGTTACGTCAGTAAAGGTGCCCATACACTGTACGATTATCGTACGAGAATCGCAGGAAATCCCGCGATCGTACGAGAATCGTACAGTGTATGGAAGGCGTGCAACCGTTTCTACTGTACGGTCTTCCGTCGAACAAGCAGGCTTGAAAACCCGCCGAGAATCGTACGATTCTCGGCGGGTTAGTGGCCTGTTTGTT